AATTTGTACAACTCTTATGATAGGGTTGGATCGAATAAACATTACTAAAGTGTATATGGTGTATGACCTTAGTCTCCACAATATTTTTGGATGAATTTCTGATAAATGATTCATTATGCAATTTATCTCAGTACAAGTTCATTAAGCAAATGGTCATATGTTTGTTTGTCTGATATGCACATTTCATGGTCTTTATCATAAATAGTGCAAATATTGAAGGATATAAATGGATGTTTCTCAGCAAACTTGTGAGGGAACACTTATAATACATAATTAATTGCATTAGTTTTTATTTTACTGTAAAGCATTAACAGAAATAAATTACATGATTTTTTTCTCCAGAGGTCTGAATGCATATATTATAGCAAAATATTATGTTGTCTATTTTTTTTAAGGAATCTATCTCATTCCCAGAAATATAAAAGTACATCCGTCTCGGCCCAAAGTAATTTCTTCTAAAGTCTTTAAGACTGATGGTCAATATTTTCCACATACCTTATTTAAAATGTTATACTAATAACAACGTATTGTTATAGCCTGTTTTTGCTGCTGGTACATTGTTTTATTGCATAAAAGGTAAACTTAAGACACACAGAGGTGATACTTCTATAACATTTGGTAATAGATACAGCATGTCAACAATGAGTTCCAGCATGTCAACAATGAGTTCCAGCATGTCAACAATGAGTTCCACTGCACTATGTAGCTGTTTCGTCCTTCTAGGACGTATCCGAATAAACATGGATGGTTTACACATACATCGCGGGAGGACCTTAATCAATAAAAATGAGAAAATAAAAATGTAAGATAAAAAGCTAAGAAATGCCATTCGGATGTGATTTTAAAACTTACTGTAATGCAGGTATACAATTAGTGTACGGACTAGAACATAACATATGAACGGAACAGACCTATATGGCAATACGTGTTATCGCGACCATCCAATTGTTATTCCCCTTCGAAGAGTTCTTGAAAATGCACAAGTCTCGCGAGAGAATGCGAGGATACGGGGGCAAAACAATCTGCCATGTGTAAACAATATGCCCCACCTGCTGTACGTCAGATAGCAGAAATCATGACCCGGACACAACATTTTCCCAACTTCCAAAGGTAAACAGTGTCAGGAAAAAATGGTTGCAACTCGTAATGAGAGACAGTTTAGAGAAAAATATCGCCATTAATATAAATTACGTAAAAGTCTCTATGCAGACATCAGACATTACGTTGTGTGTTCGAAGCATTTCGTTGATAGGCAACCCAGTATTGAAAACCAGTTCCCTACTATTTTCGATTGCAATGATTTCATGGAAAAGAAGTCTCGGAATAAGGAAAGTTATACCAGAAGTAGGTTTTGTGAACCCGTGGAACATGTTATCCAGCATGCTCCGGTTGCAAGGAAGAGGGTGAGACTCGTCAAGCTTACCAGTGACAAATACTACGTGTGCTATTCCTATGTTGCCGGGGAGGTGGAATTAAGTGACACACGCACTTATACAGCAGGTGCCGACAGCGGTTTAGGTAAAAAATTATTCCAAAATAACTGATAATTTATCTAATATCATAAACTGACAAAAAGCAAACTTAGAATTATAGTGACTACTGGTATACTTACCTAAAATGCTTTATTTGATATAAGATGGTGGTTAAAGTAGATACTTTATCAATACTGCTTGATGGGTTGGTGATACTTTTGATATCCTACACATCTGTGAACAATTTTGTAGATGTGCGACTTGATCGGTATGCAGGCATCACCCAGGATCATGCTTATTTATGTGTGGATCCAGGCAGGAAGTACTGTCCGGTAACAGATCTTCAGGACAAAATAGTGTCTATGCAGGTATGATAAGTATGTATGTTAATTTAATACAGACACTGACACTAAACAGCTAAATAGTAAGCAGAATGATGTTATCCATAACAGAATCTATAATATTTATTCAACATAATATATTCCTCTTTTTATTTGAACTGTGTGCTAAGCAAGACAATGATATGTTAACTCGTTAAGTAGCTGTTACTGTAGTGTAATACTTGAACTGTTTCTCAAAACTGAAGCAATCCCTTGTTTTGGTATTAGAAACATAAGGGAAATTAAACAAATACATATGTGTAGCCTTTACAACTAAAACCGCAGCTTTATAGTAAAATTATGTTCATTCTCTTGTTCTTAATTTGATATATTATTGTCATATAAGACTAAAGTTAATCATTCTAGGCATGAACTTTTTACACTGTAATACAAACCTTTCAGAACTATTAGGCTGAACAGAATGCTGTTCAAAACTTGTATTTTCTTTGACTTTTACAAAATTGTTAATTATTTTTTTGTATATTTTTGCTTGAAACATTAAGTTGATTCTTGATAAAATGAACAAACATCATTGACCAGCTATTCCTAACAAAATTAGCATAACCATTGATTGTGACAACATAATTCTTGATATTACAATTATAATGCTGTAATAATAACAACGCCAGAGAAATTAATGGTCATAGCTAGCTTTGGTAGGTTTAGATATTTCTTGATAAATCCTTTCCATCATATAGAATATTGTATGCTATTTCTAGACAAAATGTGCCAATCTAACAGAAGAGAATGCAAGGTTGAAGGAAGAGAATGACACCCTGAAACAACAACTTCATTCAGACGATAATATCACAAAAAAAGTCCTAATTTCTGATCAGTCAACAAGATAGACATGTAAAACCAGAAGTGTCAATTGCAAGGAAGCTGACCATAACAGAGGAATTTGTTTTTGTGCATTTTTTCCCCCTTGCTGTGTGGTTTGGGATATGTTTCGCCCAACTGTCCTAATTATTTTCAAGGTGGTTTTTATTACGTGCGAAAATTTAGATCCTCTGATTAGGCGGTCATCCTGAGACAAATTTAAGAAAAGCATGGCAATCTAAAATACCCTGACACTGCTGCTGTGATTAACTGAACTAAGCTATAATACACAAAATCGAGCAATTCAGGAGCCCAACTAGGCCAGCACATGTAGTCCTTGCAAGATACATAACACTTTGAATGCTTTAGTTTGTATACAAGTTATATTAATTTGTTATAATTTGTGTGTACAAAATCATGGAAATACAAGAATGATTGTTATTCAATATAGCCTACACAGATATGATCAAATAATGTGTAAAATTGTAGTTGCTTGATATGTCATATCATATTATTTGAAAATGTACATGTTATAAATTGAAAAATAGTCACTTTTAATTGAGATATTTTCTTGTATTTTCAAAGTTTCTAATTCAGCACAGAGCTGAGAGGAAGAAGAAAGGTTTCATAGAATGTCTTATCTTGGAGAAAAGAATTTGACATTTTACAGGATCAAATGGAAATCTTTCAATAAAGATATTTTTATTTGTAATCTGAACAAAATGAAAAAAACACCTTGACATTACAGAGATTACTGGGCCCGTATTCATGCTCAAGCAGCAAACCCAGCTTCCTGGGTCAAATCATCAAAATGTCAAGTGTAAACACTGTAGACAGTATTCGGATCAAAATCTCTTCAAAATATTGAGACTCGATGACAGAATTTAACGTTTTAATTTATTACTGGAATACAAAATTGGATTTCTGTAAGTGCAAAATCATAATTTGAGCAGGAGAAGGGTGTCATGTATAAGGGCCTCAAATGTATTTAGTGTTTTAGCTAAACTATTCATGTGAATGGGCAACTCAAAGTAGGTTTAAACAGTTATTTTCTCTCAGGGGAGATATACAAAACAGTTTATTTATGTTTATAAATCTGAGCATGTGGAATCTCCCCCATGGACATTTAAAAAGGTTGGCAAGTATGCACTATTTCTAGAACATCAGTATTGCATCATTTACATACACAAATACCATATGGTGATGTAAACTACAGTATATAAAGATAATCCTTAAACACATGTAGTCTGTTTCTTGACATTGAAAGGAATACCAAAATAGATGTCATTATTTATTTAATTTCAAGAACTATTATTTGACACAAACGGCTTAGAATACATGTTGATTTCCATACAGTGTTGCACGTTTTAAATACACCTACAGTACCAAATACGAACATCAACACGTCATGGATGTGGCCATTGCAGTGTAGCTGGTAACGCTTACCCTTGTCAGTTTTCTTTCAAGGAACTCGTATTTTGAAACAACAAAAATAACTCATGAGAATAGAGGTCACATCAAATACATCTATTGATGACATTCCAATCAAAATGTTTGTCCAAAACAAGCCTTCTGACGTTTCATTTACATAAAGGTATCGCACGATAGTCAGTACGCCACTGGCGGTCCGTCACAACTGACCCTTTAGCTTCGTCCTCTTTTTCAATATCTGGCCAATTTAACATGTCTGCTTGCTATCATAGGTGGAATAGCTCCCCCTTTGTTTTATTTGGAGTAGGTGATACCTTTTGACTTTAAAATATAACCCAATTCACTACACGGAAGTTCGCGGAAATTCGTATCTGAATATTTTGGCGCTGCCATGTTGTTTATATCCGTTGCCCCAGCGAGTACAGTTTAATCCCCTCCTATTTGAGGAGTTCCACTGGTCGCGATATCATCTATTGTCCAAACTAATAATCGTTCTATGAGTCTAAGATTCTCTGTGCACACATTGATAAACTAATTAAACATTTGTCATCAATAAATTGGTGTATCGCACTGTTTGCTACTAGTATAGTATTTAAGTATATCTTCCACATTATAAATATTGTATTGTCCTGTATGTTGCAACACAAATCTTTGTATCATTTGTAACTTTTGGATGCCTCCCAGTGTCACGTCTCCAGGCAACGTCATATATCACACGTATTACATTATACCAGTCAGTATTGTGTAAGTCTTGTAAAAACATTTCAGTTAAGCATCTTTTAAAATCGTTATACTCACATCAATTTTATATGATTTGAAACTCGTTCTAATTGAGGCAATCGACTGTATATGATAATTCATTACACAATCACTAAAGCAAACAAAAACGTAGTGGTAATAATTTATTTTAAACAGTGAATCTAGAAATAACAATACACATCTAACAGCTAGGACAAATAATTAACGAGAATGTTACATGTGACATCATAATTAATAGGAAACTAACTTGTGAACGTAGACGAATGGCAATATTTTGGTGTTATGTACAGAACTTGATTCAGATCAGATTGTGGAAATAAATAACAACATCATATCGTCAACTACTAACAACAAAATGTCTACAACATGTGTGCTCGTATGATACGTTAATTCACGTGCTGATACGTTACGGCTCATCAACACTTTTATCTATCTGAGTGACATACTTGTGAATATTAAAATGCAATTCTAATCGTCGTATGATTTTTGCGCAAATGGAAATACTATTTGACAAACAAATGTATTCAGTATTGGAATCCTACACTTCTAAGCATTACCTGAATCTTTGAATTATTGATAATTGATCAAATAACTAATTTGAGTCTAGAATCTATGCGTGATTGCTGAGGTTGTAAACTGAGATTGTCACATGTTTACGGTAAACAGTCTCAATGCATTGTCGTACACAGATTCAGAGCAGTCTTATTGACGTCACCCTGTATCATCTTCATATCATTGAAATTATCCTGTGCACATGCGCTACTAGCCGAAAACGGGCTGATGTCCGTGTCGTCTGTTACGTTGAGTTCATCGTCATCGTTGTCGCTATCATCGTCAGTACACATGTGCAAGCAGCTAGGATGTAACGATGCATCAACAGATAGTTCGGACACTTGTTCGACATCTATTATTGAGCAATCTTCGCCTGCCTTAAGACGGTCGTGGATACGTTTATGACGCTCAAGATTGCTCTTGTGACTCGTAGCATAGTCACAATGTGGGCAAGAGTAATCCTTTTGTCCACTGTGAACCGATAGATGTCGCTTCAGTAGTGCCTTCCGGCAGAATCGCCTTCCACAATATGGACAAGAATAACCGTTATGGTGAAAGATCATGATGTGTTCCCGAAGAGACGCCTTGGTTGTGAAGGTCACTCCACAGCATTCAAGGACCTTCTCACACGCTTGGTGCATAGTGGATACATGCCGCTTTAGATTATTTCGCCTATCCGTGACGTAGCGGCAATGTGGACATGGAAACAATTTGCCACGGAATGTATTACATACCAACATGGCTAGCTCCAGGTAATTCCTATTGATAAAGGGAGACTTGTATTTGGAGAGGTCTGTTGGGAACGCGGAGTGAGGGTGCATGGCGTGGTATTGGGCAAGCGTGAGTTGTTTCAGATCATTGGACGCTGTGGCAGCGTTCATGGCCGCTGTAGGATACAGAGCGGTGGGGTATTGTAGGATTGGTGAAGGCATGGCAATACCTGGCTGGCAGCTCACAGGGGTCATAGCGATGTTCTGGAAGGGCTGGAGACCGGTTGCACTGATTGTCCTCAGTGAAAGACTTGCTGTCATCGACGCCCTCATAGGAGGTCTTTGACCTTGATGCAGACTATCAGGTGGACCACTTGTCCTAAGGGTTGGAGCTTGGTCGTGATGATGATGAGCCAATCGCCGGTCCAGGTCGTGGGTCGGGCGCACTGTAGCAGCATCACATAAAGAGGCGCCGGGACCACTGTATAACATAAAAAACACCATTTTAGTTATTAGATATTAAATTTATGTTCCATAACACCTTTTGATTTATCTCATTAAAACAAATAATGTTATGTCTTAGCTTTGATGAATGAACGTATACAGTACTAACAACCTAAACGACATGTGACTATGTTTAGTGCCATGCTAATACCGGCTTTACTGTTATGCCGTGGCTCATATATATGTATTGATAACAAAACACACATCATCACACATCACATTTAGTAAGATTAGACTAACAATGTCCGATTGGACTCATATCGTGTTCTATTTCACACACTGGGAATTTATATAATTTTTCTTTTTAGCATGCCATAATCTCAACTCTAAACAATGGCCTTGTTTTGTTTCGTAATGTCTCCCGTTTGTTTCGGTATGCACTTGTTTTTTAACACCACTTCGTTTCGAAATGAGTTCTAATCCCGCCATCGATATTGAAAATTGTTATGTATATTTTTTGCTTATTAACATATAAAAGCCTTGTATTCAAATTATCTACTGTATTCCATGAATTTTTTGCTGCTTTTTAAATTTCGCCATTTTTGCCCATTGTAATGATAGCGAATTTATCATTACGACGAACATTGTTAAACAACCTTATATGCATAGTAATGGAGTGTGAAGGCGAAATATACACTCGGTGAATATGACTTTTTCTGGCGAAGGGCGAATGTTGGACTGGGCGAAAGTTTACCGATACACAATATTAATTTTGCTCACAAATAACAGCAGTTATGACACGTAATCTGATGTTTTCATTGTAATATATCACATATAAACACAACATTACAGACGATACAAATAGTTGTAATATACATGGAAACTGTCTTTGTATTTATGTTCAACTTTGTATATTTGATCAAGAACCTATTGAATGAACATAATACTGTCAACATTAGCTGTACACACATTTATATTTTATATTATATAATTGAAAATGTACACATATGCTATTACACATTTGCTCGTATTAATGATCACAAACTTGCTGTAATGTACTTTCATTTTATTGATAATTTCCGCTTTTACTGTGTTTAAGTTTCATCATATTTTAAATGTTCAAATTTGCTGTAAAGTGTTTTTTTCTTAATAATAATAACCACTTTTCTTTGTTTAAGTTTAATCAGATTATCAATGTCCTCGTTTGGTGTGTTTAGTTCTATCTTGTAAATAATGCACACCTTTGCTGTGATGAGTTAACAAGATGGCATGATACGATAATTGTGAATGGAATAAAATAATGTGGCTTAAACTAAAGAGAGTTCTAAGTATCTAGTTGTCATTAAGTCCACAATGTTCTATACCATTTATTATCGTTTTAACTTTTTAAAAGTTTATGTTTCAGCAAAAAAATAATATTGGTAGTCATTTTAATTTGTTGTACTAAATCATTCAAGATTAGAAAAATGCGTAAAAAAAGCCTGATCAAAATGGTCGAACTCCTCTTTTAACAATATATAAATGTATTTTAGTTATATGAACTCTTGCTGTAATCTTCTGGTATTTTCATTTAGAGTATACTATCTTATATTATTTTCTTATACTTTTTGAAATGTTACTAATCAAAATGTGCTATGACTAAACACGGACTGATACACGATATATATAAAGGATAATAACATTTAACACCCAGACACCACTTTTATGAAATCCATTCAGCTTGACGATATCCTACCTCACCTTTTTATTTGTAATTTGTCATAGATAAGATCAAAGTCAAACACCTTATTTTTTTTTGGATTTTCAAAAATCATTACCATTAAGTAAGTACAATTGGTTTTTTATGTTATATAACTTGTATTTTATATTATAAACTTATAAAACTTAATTTACATATAGTTGTCGTCAAGTTGGCGGTTCGTTGACGTCCTGGGCCTAGTCAGGGATACCTTTGTGTAGGTAACTGTAACTGGCTATTACAGTGTTCCCTATTGATGGAGGCGTTATTGTATCAATTAAGTTTAATTCTCCGTTAGAAGTGGCCCAGCTAGTGCGGAGCGTGCGGGGATCTGAAGATAAGTGGCCGTCAATCAGAGGATAATATAACGTATTGATGGAGTTGACATTGTGTTACAAGTAATTGTCGAGAGAGGATCCTCTCTGGTTAGCTTTAAATCAAATCTCGTAAACGTATTAGAAGCATGCTTCTGAATGATTTAAAAAAATGAAGTATAAGATAAAGTAACATATGACTATTGTAGTGTTACACCAATCCATATGTATAGATAAAAAAAGTGAATGATTTGAGCATATGTAGCCGTATTTGATACCGATTTTGAGTTTGACCTTTAAATCGTAACCAACGTACATATAAGTATATCGAAAATGTTTGCATTATTTATTGAAAACTAAACAATCAATACCTATAAATTGTTTTATATCACTCTGAGGAGTTGTTAAAGTAACAGTGTGAGCAACAACAACAACAAAAAACATCCGAACAAACAGCAAATGGGACTGATAAAAAAGGCTGTACATCATAAAATTCTCATAAAGGCAAATGTTTTTAGGAATTTTAATTTCTAATTGGACAAAAGGAATATAAATAATAAATGAATGTATCCATGATGCAATAACTTGGGAGATATATAAAAGAACACCTTGGCGTTTACAATCAAGGGGAAAACATGAAGTAAATAAACAAGACATAACCAGGATAACATTTGGAGACATTTACAATTGCTTAAAAATCCAATAAGTTCCGCAGAATGCTTTTTCTGAATATAAAGCTCGACAGTCACATTTAACTTAAGTTGATCGATTCAGATCAAACACTGATATAAGTGCAAGGAAACATGGGCGAGAAAACTGTTAGAGACGGAAGTAACTCTCTAATTTGAAGGCGTGAAAATTATGATGAATGCGTCAGAAAACCAATTTTCAGATTAAGGCGAGAGGTTGTCCGGATCCTTACTTGTAGTGGTTGATCGAAACAGTAACAACAGGAAAGTATTTGTTCAACCAGAATCACCGGTTTAGAAATCTTGGGAAGTGATTCTGAGGTTCCTGATAGGTTGATCGGCCTATTTGGCTGATAGTAAATTAATTTCTCACTTGTCCGTGTTACGTCGCAGAGATTAGGAATTGAACATCATCTTAAATGCCAGAGCGATAATTTGAGACCCCGCTGAGACGTTTTAAAGCACAAGTGTGTTACTGAGTTGACTTGACGATAATAAACTATTATTAATATGATTGATACAGCCAAGTTATTAGAGTTATGTTTTCTGTAAACTAATTGTAAACAGATTAGGCAGATAGCGTCATTGATACAATATCGGTCCTGTTTGTGAGAGAATAGATAGCCATCATTGATACATCTGACACCGATAGAAAGTTTAGTTCAATTACATTGGAAATCAATATATAGTTGCAATTCGATAATCATGTCACCTCTAATCCATTTCCTCCTTTATTTAGCCTGTGTATTTAGTGGCAGATAGGCCACTTTGTGATACAAAGGTGCTGTAGTAATGTACGCTTTACTGTAATATTTTTAAAATATTTGCGTCAACTAAACACGAAACATAAGGTAACTACATTTATCTGACATCAATCCGAAAAGTGGTTTAGTCAGCAAAATCAAAACTTTAAACTTGATGGCATTTAACACAATTTTCATGAATAAATATGATATCTTATTAAATACAGTAGGTGCTATATTTAAAACTAATTAAAACACTCATATATAAAAACAAAATGCTGCAGCTTAATCGTTCAGAGACGAGACATACCATAGCCTCAACACAAAGATAAATCTAAAGGATAAAACATACTACAATGACAACGTCAATGAACAAGATGTACCATATCGCCAAGACGTATAAACAAAACATACCGCTTGATGAACTCACCAGGACGCATTATAAAAGAATGCGACATAAAAGGACACAAACAGCACCTAATAATATATTCAATAGTAAACGTCGGTATAAAATAAACGTTAATTTCTGAGAAAGCTATCACTACTCGTCTACGTATCTCCGTTCAGCACAGACCTTACCGTTGTGACGACTGCCTTGTAGGGCCAATATGAGTGTGTTACATATACGTCTACTGTGTTAGTATTCCTGTCGACAACAAATCATATGTTACCTCTGTCACTTATATTTCAAGCCGATTTCTATCGTCGACATTTGTCTAACCCCGTATCCCACTATCCTAAAGAAAAGCGACGATTTTCGTGAATAAATAACAAAATAACCTCATGCTGATAACACATTTAACAATTTTGTCACAGATGTTTTTGCGAAAATTGAATCCCCGCTCGAGTGTAAATCATGTATTATCACTATAGTCAGTTTGAAGTTTTTCGCACATTTGAGCAGCAATAAAACGAAAATAAAACTAGACCTAATTACTGTTGGGGCTAATGACGTCACACATATCGTGGCTCCCGCTGTGAGGAGGTTTTGTCCGGGAAAACTCTCAAACTGTTCCGAGTATTATGTGTATTTCATTATGCTAGCCGTGACGGCGCCTCGCCGGACCAGGACGTGTTCGGGATGTCGTGCATGTATGGCGTCCCGAGGAGATCTAAGCTACACCATTGATTTTATGTTTAATCTGGCTTTGTAATTCTATTTAACGTAGTCATATTTCTAACTGTATTGATGTGATGTATTGTTCATTTATGGAACTCGTTTACACAAGTATATATTTTACTTTATACATATACTGAGTTATCCATACTAGCAATGACTTGCAAATGTTAGTGGACGGTATTCTAAGGCAAGTAATATAGACATCTTATCCTTCACATATTCAGTATCGACAAATAGTCTGGTATGGTAATTAACACGGATATCTCAACATCTAAATCGACTATCGAGGGTACAAATAAATGATATACATGTGTTATATACCTATTTAATTATCTGTCTAGTCAAAAGGAGTTTTTTTCTCTAATAGTGATGAGAAAAATAGTAAAAAAACTTAAGATTTACTTTTCGGCGCATTTTATTATCCAAGTTATTCTAAATTAGGAAAAAATATATTTATTCCTTATTAGACTAAGAAACGGACGAAAGAAAAAGCTTGAATTCCGACTTATTATCTGTTGGGTTGCAACAGTCCCCTTCAAAGAAGGTAACTTAGCCGACGTCCTATTTAAGGACCCCAATTAAACATCTGACATATAATTGGTTAGGTTATGGTATATAGCGATGTTGATTTTAATTTAGAATAAAGTATAAAGACTGATGTCTACATAAAATATTTGTCCATGTGTATTAGAACATGTCAGTATCTTTTGTGATAAATAATAAAGGTGAATAAAGCTGCACATTGCCTAGGTTCATTAATGAACTTTCGTTGATACGTTTTATATGTGTGTATAAAATGCCTCTATTAATTGTTGCAAAGGAAAATGATGTATTTGCGTCATGATGTGACAGTGCAGGGTTTGTCGGTTGGGTAGGTTAATAGCATTAAACACATTGAGTATAAAGCACGTAAGGTTACAATGTTTCGAGACCTAATCATATAGTGCGCTTCTTATAGAAATATCAAAATCGCATTATTTGCCTAGGGGTATTTGAACAATAGAGACCTGATTGTATTTTTATTATATTTGTAATGTATATTTGAGGTCAAGTGACTGCCGTATGAATGAAGGAGTCATATCCTTAAGTTAATTCTGTGATGATCTACCATCGTTACGCTAATGCTGTTTGATTAATCCTCAATCAATCTGTTCCTGTTTCAATCCGTTTTATATGGCCAAGTCCACTTAAAATAAGTTCCTGTTTACTACTGATCATTCCTTATTGTACCGTCACCCCAGGGAGTGGCCTCACCCCCGGGCATGACATTGAGGAGACAAGCGGGAAGGATATGAGCTGCTCTGAATGCTTCCTGTGCTGTCGGTAGATTCCTGGGTAATCTATCACCTATGCGGTACTTCTAGACACGACAAATACACAATAGTAATACACACCTGTTAGTTAGTATTTATTCTTTATATCTATAGCTAATAATAAGGAATCGATGAAGGCAAAGGGATATGTTCAAGGTCCTAAGTTGTTCGTACTTTCTTGAATGGATTGCTTTTAATTTGTTTGGACGCACACTATCTGTGAAGACATCTGAATGATGTGGTTGTCTGATCCAATTTGTAAGTTTTCATAAACAATGTTGCTGTACATTTAAATAGGTTTTGTTAAAGTCAAGATGGGTTATTTAAAATACTACTGAAGTTTTAACGGTCCATCAACACAATAATGTCATACACGGACAATTAATTGAACATGGGTAAGCGATATAACTACCAGGAGAGATGGAGGATATTTCTTTAGAGGCATGTGGATGAAATGAAAACAAACAAAAAAAAGATAAATATAACTAAACAATGTTCCATGAGTAACATAGAAAATGGTTGTAGAAGAAGAGACAATGACGCAAAAAGAGGTGGAAGTAAAGTTAGATGAAACAAAGGCATAAAACACGCCAAATATACCAAGTGTTTAACTTGGGGGAGCAAGTAACTTTTGTGTTTTGTATTCTTTTTATATTTCCGATTCTGCATGGGAAATCATAATAGTCACTTCTTACAACCATCCCCTGTGATACAGAAGGTAAATTATCCTTAACACACAGATAACTACAACAAAAAAAAAAAAATTAAAAAGGGTTTAGTATAAGGGAAATATTACTATCATAATACATTGTAATATGCATTAAAACTATATTCAGAAATACGAACTTCAAAACAATATTGAATATTGGCAAGTACACTTTACTTGAAGGAAAAGATCCCTCATAATGTAAATAAATTTCATATTTTGATCAAGGTTTAATTTTCTTTTGGTTTATTTTGTTATTTACTTACAATAAAATATATCACTATGCATTATTAAATACATGGACAAAAAGCAAATACACTGAATATCAATTATATGCTTTACATGACCAAATGAGTGCCTTTTTTTAAATTAAATCCGAGCAAGCCTTATTGATTATGACACACTAGTTTCAAAAACACTTTTTTATCATTTAAAATGAAATATCCTCTTAAAAAAATTATTAGATAACACAACATGCAGAATATTAAAAAACACACATTAAAATATATATGTAGTCGTGCAAAAGTCTTAAAATAATTCGTCATTACGAAGCTATGTAAAGCCTGCCGTAAACAATACGTATTGTAAAATTGAATCATTTTATATAATGTCTAACTGATACAATGTCTTTTATACTATTCGTTCTTCTTTAAAGTTGACAATATTAACTTATCTGAGAATGTTTTATCAAATGCTGCACCGAAATTCCTTTTCGGTTTATTGTGCTCCTGGTGGACTATCGGTTCCAGCGGTATAATTAATATGTAACAGCAATATGTTTTTGGTGACTTTTGTAATGGTAATTAAACAAAATATTTTTGTATGGTTTGATGAAACCGAAAAAAGCAGTTAATATATCAGCAAATTTTGTTGAGGGCCTCTGATATATAACGAAAATATAAATTGCACTGTATCGCTGCCCTAAATAACCGAATCTGAATCTCCTATTTTTGCTTTTTTGTATGAAGACTACATTGTCTGTTTTACCTTTTGCGACACGATTTTGTGTATTTCTAACAGTTCATTAAGTAGACGAATCAAATTAATTCTAACTGCCACATATTCGACACATTCTGGTTTATGTATAACATTAAATTTAAGAAAAGATAGAAAGAAAAGAAAATTACTATAGTGTATGATTTGAAATGTTAACTAATTCATGAAACAGAAAAATACAGATGTTATATTAAGCCTTTCGGGGTATGAATATTAATATATATAGAGATGGAAAAACATTGCAAGTAAGGTTCGCCCATTAAATAAATACTCTACTGAAAGTCCTGAATCGGTATGTAGTTTTCAATTTCTGAAGTTAATAGATATGTTTTTAATATTAGTTTTTAAAAAGTTCAAAGAAATCATGATGTTATCATTATTGTTAAGTCTCATTACTTTGAGTTAAAGAATGATTAGTGTTTGTCGTATATACTGCATTCATCATATAGCCTAATATGTTACTAATACCATTGCCCCATCTTAATGAATGTTTAGTTTCGCATCATGACTGCAAAGGCATATAACTACACGTTGAACGCAATAATATTCACATACGAAATTATGTTATTGTATATTTAACTAATATGTATTTAGATAATATGTACGTAATTTTCTACGTTAAACAATTACCTATCGATGCCAAACCGATTTTGAAACGATAAGTATTTGTAGAGTCAAGATGTTGTTAGTTGTGTAACGCGCAGTGCATCTTAATGAATGTTTAGTTTCGCGTCGTGACTGCAAAAGACATATAACTACACGTTGAACGCCATAATATTCACATAAGAAATTATGCTATTGTATATTTAACTTATACGTATTTAGATAATATGTACCTAACTTTCTACGTTAAACAATTACTTATCGATACCAAACCGATTTTGAAACAATGAGTATTTGTAGAGTTAAGATGTTGGAAGTTATGACTGTTTAATGCTACAAGAAATATTCAGATATTTAAAGAATATTCAGTTAGTTTAAGAATATTCAGTTAGTTTAAGGATATACAAATAGTTTAAGGATATACAGATAGGCTAAGAATATGCTCGGTGTTTTACAATAATGAATATGAGCTGTGCCGTTCTGCAAGTATGTCAAAATAAATAACGATATAAACTTTACATTTACTTTTACGTTACATATACTGTTTGTATTCTAAAAAATCCGTTATCTACTAATTCACTTTTGTTATGTAGACCATCCAGTTTTGTAGTGGAGAATCATACCAGGAACCCTACGTATTTATTACTTTTTATTTCGTTCTTGTAAATTTTTTCATTTTCGTTCAGTGTAGTTATAAGATGTTCATGGAATTTATTTAGATTGCTACTTTTTGGTCATTTGATTAAACTATTGCAACTTACCTCATAGACAGTGAAGGAAACATGGTCTTACTCCAGACTCTTTGCACAGATAATTTGTCTCTAGAGTGTCCAGAAAACAATACAAGTTGATTAGTGATACAAATACAGTTTTCTCTTTGCCGTCTTGTTATCCTCAGTGCCGAATTAATATATCTATTTTATTTTGGACGTTTCCTTTCCTATAATAATCTAAACAGATATTATGTTTACAAGTGGGCTGTCCCTGAAACCACGTGACGAGATTCGGCAGCCTCATTAGCCACAGTAACACAAGTTATACACAATCACCGCCTACTCCGGCCTCGATTTGCATATTGACGAGAACGGGAGACCACCTAATGAAATCCCTGACGGGTGTCAGTGACAAAGTCAACTCCGGAGTAAAGTGGGCAATTACATTAAATGTGTATCGTTATTGGATGTGTCACTTAAGTCGATATAGGTCGGTGAAAAGCTCTTTTCGTTTGTATTATGATCTTGTTCATTTATGCTATATGAAGGAATCTCTTTTTATTGAATAACTTAGAACAACTGTCACTGATGTATTATTGAGTTTGGGAAAGCATCGACGTTAACGTTATATCCTGATGATTTCTTACAGAGCTGGTCAACTGTTTTCAAGGAGTGTTCCTCATTGGTTAAGCTGTTTACTCGGCTCCTGTTGCTTACCTTTCGGTTCCTCACCGGCCCCTTCTTTGTGACGGCGAACTAAGTTAATAGCGGAACAAGACCATTTCTGAATTACTTACATGGGAATTGGTATTGTCAACTCAGCATCATAAACAATAATATAAGGGTAGGCGAAGTGAAATATTATATGCTATCTTTGTCGTACTAACAGCGGGATAGTCTAATTGCCGGTCGATTAAATTAAATAAATACAGTGATACGTCCGCCGTGTCTTTCTGCGCCTTTTGTGGCCCTTTTGTGCTCTCCTCCTGGTAGGGCCTGCTCGGCGCTAGGACGAATAAGGAGACCGACAGTTCCCAGTGATGAGTAAATTATATCAGTCATGCCCCTGTGGCGCTAATTGCCGAGCAAACTTGTAGAAAATCTCGCAGTTTTCAAAAGAAACCATTGAGTTTGACATAGAAGAAATGAGAACATTTTTATCGACGTCCTTGTACAAAGTATTATGGCGAGCAGGTGAGGCATCGATCCGCTATCATATCAGGGTAGATGGTCTGAAACAAAGTTGTTAAATAATAACAAAAAATGTTTAATTATACTGAGTGCTCCCGGGGCTTACCAGTGACAAGGATTAATTCCTAAGTTAACTTTCATAGCATCCCAAGCTGCCATCAGGATTTCCCATAATGCTCCGGCCCTCCCCTTCACAGCACGTGACACGGGCGAGACATGCACGCGCGTTTCCATGAATATTTCATTGGTATCATTATAAGTGATCTAATGTAAAATAATAATTTAGGGTCTCATTGCTGACGAAGTAGGGGGACAAATCACTGCCTCGAACAACGCTTCCAAACAGCGGGGATGCTAGGGCGGATACGCCCATGTACATCTGCCCCTTTTAGGTTTTGTGTGCTTAAAAGAGATGCTCTTTTGTTAGGTACCCAACAACATCGTACAAAACAAGGAAACTAAAATATTTCAAGAATCCAAGAACATCCGTAAACACGACAAAACATCCGTAAACACAACAAAACATCGGTAAACCCAACAAAACATCCGTAAACACAACAAAACCATTCAATTTTCAATGTTGACCTGTTACATTTGAATTGACTTGATACACTACATGTATTTTTATGACTATATTTTTTAGCAAATATTGTGATTATTTGTTACTGTTTGACATTTTATTAATAATTTATTAATTGATTAATTTATTTGGAAAGCCTTTCCATGAATACTAATGTGATACAAATCGCAAAATCTATATATTGTAATGATATACATTGCTAATGCTTTATCGAAAGCCTGAAGTAATTGGTAAAAGTAAAAGGGAAATTAAATCGGTACATATTCATATGTTGACAAAATTATAATTGTAATTGACGTTTGACCGACATAGCCGCCTACAAAAATATATTATAAAATATGAAAATAATAAACCACAAAAACTCAAATGCTTTTTTCAAAATAATAAATATCACTGTTATTTACCAAATATCACGAACAGTTTCGGAATTCCACAAAATATTGATACGCTTGTTGTCTTCGACACTGTGTCGTTCAATCTGTTTCCTAGTTTCCCCTTAATATATTGAAAGTATGCCACTGTTCACTTCAAGACTATTGACAAAGCTACTGATGAAAAAGTAGGAAGATATAAAATATGTTGATGGGAGCATAATAATATACCAATGATGATAATGAAACTATTATACTTGGAAATTTCGATTGATATATTTATTACTGGTACAGTTCTATATTAGTACATATTAAAAAAAAACATAAGCACATGTAAAACGTTACAATAGCAAATACGACACGTCTTTTTTTTTCTTACATTTAATTTAGTTGTATGATTAATGGACAGATACCCCTTCCTTGCTTTCAGTGAAATGTATCTGGTGCGATTTCCTGCATGGTGTCGAGGAGACTTTTGACTTAGAAATTACAGTACTGTCATCAATCATGGTGACGTTTTATTATTCCTTCACTTATCTATTTATTTATTTTTGTTAAGACGGACCAGGTAGACCACACCTCATATCTGCCTCGTCACACACGCTTTATGTTCAAAAGGCAACTTGTCCTAAAATGTAATTACATATTACACAGTAGAGCATAAACCAGAACTTTATTTATCTTCTTATTCATTCTGAAGCACATCAAACACTATCACCCTTTATTATGATCCATTCGGCGAGAGAAATGGCAATAACATAGTATCTAACAAACCAATTCCTAGATATAATTTTTAAGGCAACACCTAAAGTGCTGTCAATTTAAAAATCCAAACACAGTAAAACTATTTTGCTGTCACATATGGCAATTTTGTCCAGTTAAGAATCAGAAGTGATGCCAAAGATTTAAAGACTGGGAATCTATTCATAAAATGATCCGAAACCATGTAGGAAACAGGTATGTGGGAAAGCTGCCGATAAAGTCCTTTAACATAACTTTACAATGTTTGGCAATAACAGATAGCTTCTTCGTGAACTAGTATTGCATGTACACCTTACCAGATGAAATCTTCGCTTCAAAGATATGGCCAATATCAGGAACTGATTGTCAATCAGCAGTGTCGACCACCTTGTCACATACACAATTACTACGGAACCATGCATATTAGTCCTTCATTGAGACATATAAATAGGCGCTACATGTTGTACCGGGAATTCGTACAATTCGTAAGCACTTGGTTAAAATCGCTATTTTTGGATGGTGGGGATTCGTGATGGTATTGTTTTTATTTATTCATTTATTTTTGTACCTCTATAGTTCTTATATTTGTCTTTTCGTGTCGCCTTGATGTTCCTGTTTGGTCTCTGTGTGGTCTACTTTTATTTATTTTTTCGTTTCAAATTGCTTGTTCTCTTGTTTAAACTTGATGACAACTTTGAATGAGGTGAGTCGTTACCTATCAGTTAATTTGCATTTAAAGTTAATTACCCCTCTTTATTTACGTAATGCCATCCACATTTTGTATTTTAGATTTCCTTCTTTCATTATAGAATTGTATTTATTTGGTGATGACAGTTAAAATATTTCTTTGTCAAGTAATACTTTGAACGTGTTTTAAATGTGAAAACCCAGCTTTGTTCAGTATTTCTAGAATAAAAAGTTATTTGGGAATGTTAGATATCGTTTCTTACAGGGCAAATCATTGTGATTATTTCTTCATAAGTGTACTTATAACTGATACATTTAACTGAAGGTAACACATTATTAATCATTTATTGTAACATTTTAGAAATGTTAAATTACACTTGCAATTATAATTTGATAATAACCATATTGCTCTTAATTAACGTGAAGGCAATCGCTTTTCTGATTTCACTTATCGACGCCAACAAGCCAATTTTCCTGGAGGGAGGCCGCAGCAACAGGTATCCCCGTGTTCTCCGCTTATATCCGATACTCGTGGAAAGTGGCCCGTTCTCGTGTTTAGGCGCGTGCGTGCCTTCCAGGATAAGGTAATCTCACCTTTAATTACTTTGTTGCTACTTGTATTCGGAGATGTAGCCTGGCTAGGGTTATAACCACGGAATCCTGTCACTGGCTGCGAGTCTTACGCACCCTACTGGTGTCCCCAGTTCCTCATTTCTAGGCCCACATCATTGAGGGTTTAGGAGGGGAACTATACATGTAGTTTAAAGTAATTTAAACTACGTGATATGGAATGAGAATAATTTTTGACTATTTTAGAAATGTACAGACAATGAAACTATCACGCTAAGGCAGAATGGAAATCCTATTAAATTCTGGTTTGAAATTTGGTAATTTTGTTATTACAAAATGCATTATTGCTTATGTTACAGGTAAGAATTTATTTGGAAAATTGTGCTGCCAAAATATTTATACCTGTATCAAGTTGTGTAGAATTATAAAGATACAATCGTCAATAAACCACATCAAAATCCCTACAGGAGACATCAAAACGAAAGGGAAGACGTCACTGGACCTCCACAAAAACGCAGAAGAGAATAAGAAGTACACATGGCAACCATCATATCCAGTATGTAGTCAACAAAAATCTAAGACACATTTAACCAATTTTTAGTCATAGTATACAATGAAATAGGCGGCAATCGGGTCATTACGAACACAGCAAAACGTCTTCAATGTAGATTGAAACATCTCTGGTAGAAAGCCAATATACTTTATGAACATTCTGATACTTACACCAGGCTCCGGAAATTCAGATGTGGCAGGAATAGCGTAAACTTAAATATTTCTAATTTTAAAAATAAAGGGAAAGATTGGTAAACAGATAATGGAGGGATCAGATCAGAATAGTAAACTGAAGAAATGTTTGTTATACCTGTATTGTCGGAAAAATCAAATGCAAATAGGTCTCGATATCACCCGGAAATGAAATAATGAATATAACTGTATGTAGTAAAGGGTATTTAAATAGATTGTAGAAATTTTAGTTATATTAAGTAAAAGACTTCTTGTGATATTTGAAAACCAATATCCGCTTGGTCTGA